CATTGTATGGGTCAAAATTATCGATTTTTCTTTTATGCCAAAAATCATTAAGGTATTAAGTAAAGATCACGTTCCATGAAGATATTTTGTAAATTTTCTTACCGTAAATATATAAAACATTTATTTTTGTGAGTGAATGCAGCACAATCGCGAACATATGGACAACTTTAAAGGCGATTTTCTCAATGTTTTTTTTGCACCCTCAGATTCCAGGTTTTCAAATAGTTGCATCTCGGCCAAATATTGTCCAAACAATACATCAATGGAAAAGCTTATTTATTCAGCTTTCAGGTGATGTATAAATCTCAATTGCGAAAAATTGACCCATGTGACTGGTTTTGTGGTCCAGGGTCACATATGACTATAGAGAGACAGACTAAATTGGTCTTGAGAACTTTATTAGGCCATTAGTCTGCAGTTAGCACTGGTGTTTGACATTTACTGTCACATTCTCAGCCTGGTTATCTTCACTTTTTTACCCCTCTGTCTGTGGAGAAAAGGCTTCTGTACATGTGTCATTCAAAACACATTGTTTTGTAAGTTAAATTAAATGAAAAAGCCACAATGAATATGTTTTTATGCCATTAAGCTTCTAGTAAGGATGTGTAGGCTAATATTTTGCAATCTATTAAATTTAAATAATAAACATATGATAATGAAAAACTGACTGTTCATGTATCCTGCTTATTGAATGATTAATACTTTCCAACTAAGAAAGCTTTTTTCCTCTATTTTAAGTTTTCTCTCATTTATCTCTTTATTAATTTTTTTGCTTTAACTTGCTTTAAAACCATTTCTAGACATATAGGGTGAATTCAGGTTGATTCCAAGTAATCTCAATGGCAAAAAGTGTTCCAATCACCTCTTTTAAAGGGGTCATGACATGTATTTTTTATTTTGCCAAATATACATAGTGTAAAAACAATTATTTTCAACCCTCATTCTGACCCTCTGTCTGAAATGATCCGTTTTTAAGGCGAGGCTCCTTTAAGGCTTGTCAGTAAACGGCCGCTGTTATGATTTGAAAACATCATTGCATATGAAAACATTATCAGAGCCCACTTGGTATTGCACATGAGTAAGTGTTTTGAACATTATCTGTCAGCTGACTGCTTGACTGTTTTTTTTTTCTAATCTCTCCATTACAGTGTTGCCTGACTCCGCCCTCCTACGTACTTCTGCTCAATTTTCATTTTCCTTCAGTACTACGTCTGGGTTTGTGGTATATTCGTGGGTTTTCTCCGGTCAATTTTTTACCGGTCCAATCAGCGAACAGAGGGAGTGGCTGAGAGCGATGACGTTGAGGTGCGCTAGTTTGAGTTGACATATGTCACTCACGACCAAACATTAGCGATTGGCTATGGCAGATCCAGAGTGACTCTGCGCAGATACAATAGTTTTAAACTTCAACAGAATACCCGCCTTCAAGGAAGTTAACGCTTGCCATTGGAGAGCTGCCAGACTCTCTGTACAAATCAAATGTACGAGAGTCTGGTAGGACCAGGCTAATTACACTGTGGCTCGTTTACAAAATCTGCAGTCAAATTCTCAGAACAAACATATAATCCCCTGACACGACTCATGACGCCATTAAAAATAAACCATCAACTTATTTCCGAGGCTGGGATCTTTCTGAAGTCTGTACAGAAATTAGCAAATGAGCTGTTTGAACTCGACACGTCAAAGCGAACGATCCTTTATGCATCCATTTACTGTCTTATCCATTTGTCCTGTGGGTATGTCAGAAAGTGAATGTGCATCTGTATATTGTATCCAGTGTGGATGCGACGCTCGCATCGTGTGTGCCAGTGGGCGGGGCCTATGGTGCGATGATGTATAATTATTCAAATTGCCCGTGTGATCCCACCATATCCAAATGAGCCGTTTTTGGAGCTTGATTAAATAAATGCTTTGTTTATAATGAGGAGAATGTTTTAAAGGTAGGGTATGGGGGGAGGGGGGTATGGTACGACAGTTTGATTGACGCACTGACTGTCCAATGATTCTAGGTGGTCTTGGAAATGATTGGCTGGAGTTTTTCGAGTCCTGCCCGTTCCACAGATGATTAAATTGCTTAATTTTCATTTCAGTGCTTCTAACTCAGTGGCTGTAAGTGGGTTAGGAATAGGATTTCAAGTGATTTTGAAAAAAATGGTCCAAAAAGAAAATCACATACCCCACCTTTAAGCAATGAAACTTTTAATGGTACAAAGACCTATATGTCAAAAGATCAAGGACAATTTTATTTCTCATGTCATGAGTCATGACCCCGTTAAAGTTTTTATGCCCACCATATACGTTATTATAAATGTATATAAATTCATACTGAAACAGACCAAGGCCATTGTAATTACAGTCGGTAGTAAACATGATATGTTGATAGCAGTCCAATAAAAAGTGAAGCACTCATTTAAAAAAAAAAAAAAATGCATGCTCAATATGCCATGACCAATCAGAATGAAGTATTCTGGATATCTGCTTAATAAAAGTGATGATAAGAAAGTGGGGTTGTTAGAATAGCATTCTTGCATTATGCATTTGTCTTGCTCAGCTTGATTAGTGATTTTATACTGGGTTGCTTGTCAAAGTGAGAACATCGCAGGAAACCACAGTTACACTCTGATATAAGTTGTGACAGGAAGGAAGGCCATTGCAAGTGTGTAGAAATAAGGACCCCTCCCATTATTTCTTGTGTACTCAGCTTAAACAGAATCTAAGCACAAAATGAACTGTTATTAGTCAATTTACGTGTCGGTCAAACAGGCATGTCTGCCTGTCTAAGTACCTGTTCTTGTCCAAAATAAATGGCAAATTGGACTGGGCTTCATACCAATATACAAGATTATTCTTTAAAGTCTCAATTAAATGGAATTAGCGACAGATCTTTTTTTCCTTATTGTAATGTAGGCTACATTTGAGTGTAACTGATTATCGAGAAAAAAAAATGTAGGATGGGGACATGGGCATCTATGCATCAGTTTGATTGGTCTTTGAGATGTGGGCGTGGCACTCAAAAGTGGAGGTGAATGAAATCAGGGGTGGAGTTTAACCGCAATAAATGATTGTCATTTATCGTGCACTTTCGACTTAACAGCTTTGCAGAACATTTACATTCACAAACAACTATATTACACACTGCATGAAAGGGAATATTCGAAAAACCATTATAGGGGCACTTAAAAAAAAAAATACATGGACAAATTGTTAAAATTAAGATATAACATGCAAGTTAAGAACATGTAATATGCAAACAGACGTTGCGATAGTCTGTTCTTCCCTATTGTGATGTATATCCGAGTGAAACTGCTTCTCAAACAAGAAAAACTAGCGTTTCAGAATCATTTTGTCCCGTTAGGAATTGATTGGTTGGTTGTGGATTAGGTGATCTCATGTGATTGGCAGGTTGTCCCGCTCTCATGCCAGTAAACATGCCATCAGAGAAGAAAAGAGATGACAATCGACCAATCGCGGCGATTTCAGTGGTCGCGGCTCCTAAACGGTGCTCTTACGTCGTACAGTGAAAGAGGTTCCAAGATGGCCGTTGTCATGGTCTTGCAGCCAAAGTTAGCCTAAGATCGTTTTGAATAAATTTTGCCTGATCATCTCCCAGTGTGTTTGCTGCCACGACCTACATGTGCTGACTATAGCCAATAAAAATGCAACATGAAAGGCGTGTTGATCAATGCGACATGGCCCTAAAACTTAAAACCACTTAACTTCAGCTCCATTTGCAAGATTGGCAAGCCAAGTTGGCCTCTTTTCCCTAGCTATGACCATGTCCATATTCTCCTTTTTCGCTTCCTCCTCTTTTTTTTTTTATTCCAGCGCACATAATAAAAACCACAATTGCAAAGTGCCATTCATCTTTCTCTATTTGTTTACCACTAGCGCATGCTGATGATGTTTTATTCTTCTATATATCTTGCGTGGCAGCCTACGATTCAAAAGATTTCATCATCGCACAGTCTACATACATATAGTCATATAGTCATAGTCGTACCCAAGTTTATTAGATCCATGTCGTACAGTGTGATTTTTAATGATCTTATAGACCTTATGCACCAGAGAAACAAGCGCACCGTCATCTTTAGAATATTGTCTTTGAACTTCCGTTTTTGCTGTCACTCTGTATATTTCTATGGCATCGCTGTCGAGGAGTAATAGGCTTTATGCACAGCTTCACTACTTCCTGAACTTCAGCCAGCCCTTTGTTTCCTGTCTGTCATTATTGGACAAACTAATTACTCCAGGTGTGCCTGATTATTGTTACTGAGGCCAGGCACACCTGGATTAATTAGTTTGTCCAATAATGACAGACAGGAAACAAAGGGCTGGCTGAAGTTCAGGAAGTAGTGAAGCTGTGGCATAAAGCCAATTAGCTGGTGAAGTGGATTTACTTAGTGTAGAGTTAACGAAAGTTATCATGAGCATTGTAATGTTTATCGTAAGCATTGTAAAGCAGATGTCTTAACAAATGTCGACCGGGAATTTTTTTCCAAGCCGTTCATTTATACCTGTGCAAGATCGCTGTGAAAATACAGACAGGAAGTCAAAAGACAACGAGCGCAGCGCTGAAAAGGGGCGGGGCTACATATAGGATTGCCGAAATCGCACAGTCTGTAGCAGCGATAGAGCAAATCAGTTTTAAGAAAAAAAGAAAAAAAAGATGTGCACTGATAAATAATTTACTAAACACTGCTATATTCCATCAAAAATAAGAATTGACCATTTTTATATCATGGTGACTTTAATATGTCAGTCTAATTATTTATGTATCATTATTCTGTATTTGTCTTATATCATTACATTATCATAATATATATTTTTTTCTGTAAAGTCAAGCAACACATACTGGAGGTTTGCTTCACCTAGTATTTATTTTTATTGCTTGTATTTTTTCAAAATATATATATTTTTTTAAGTATAGGCTAATGAAAAGTTTCATTCACTAATGCAAGCCAGATGTTGTGCACGATGGATAGTTCCCTTCCCCCTACCGCTGTAATGTAAACAGTCCTGCCACACCCGTGGAAACACACTCGAGTCGAGAGCTCCTGGAATTCTTCAGTCAGACGATGCATGTGGTCCTCGTCAGTGTGTTTCTGCTCCAGCTCTCAGCTGTTCTGAGAACGAAATGTGCTGGCTTTTGTAAATGCAAGAGGATTGAATATAGCAGGCGGTTGTAGCAGTTCACGGTTTGCTCTGTTGACTGCATGGCTCCAATGTCTTGCAGTTTGGAAAAGTTTCTTTTAAGGAGTTTCTTCTCTTGATAGTGAATTATGCTGAACTCGGGAGGAAAATGAAACTCGTGAGTACAGTTACAAGTGGTTTTTAACTGTTGCCATATTGCATAACTCACTGGGCGTTGTTGCACTCTTGTAGCTGTGAATCTTGAAGCGTTTCATGCATTTGCTATCATGTGAAAACTAGTGAAAACAAATTTGACAAGCTTGAAATTAGTTTAGTGCCTGAATATGAATAAAATGATGAATATAAACTTAAAAAAAAAAAAACTTACATATCTTTCTTATATATATATATATATATATATATATATATATATATATATATATATATATATATATATATACAGCATTTTTGACAAAGCTAAAATAAAATATAACATTACTTTTACATTTATTGATACTTGTCATTTGTTTAATGTCTTGGTCACCATATTTCCCATGTTATTTTATACTTTTAATAACTTGAATATTATTCTAAAATGTGGAAAATTAGTTTGAAAAAGAATGAGTACTCGTGTCCAGTCCTTTTTACTGAATGTTCGTGTGAAATCATGTATGATAAAGCAGTGTTATTTTAGTATCATTGAGATTTTATAGTTTTTTTTAATATTTTATTTCAGTTTTAGTAAGTTTAGTATATCAAGTTAAGCTAAAAAGAAAAAAAGAGAGAAATATATCTTTGGCAACTAGCTGAAATAGTTTAAAAAAAAATATATATTTTGTATTTTTTTTTTTCAGTTAACATTAATTATATTTCAAATAACAAAGTTTTTTTTTAGTTTTAGTTAACTAAATTAACCCTTGGGTGAAGCGTATTAGAAAATGTTGGGCAAAAAGATGCTTTGTATGTCTGTGTGTTAAGATGTCTGAACAAGTTTTCCTTTTGTCCTTTCTCTTACAGGACAGACGTTTATGAAGCGGTTGTAGGTGTGCGTCATATTTGGATTAAACTTCTGGAAGTTGTGAGCCAGACTTCCCCAGAGCCCTTCCCTTGTAATGAGCATGGTCGGAGAAGGACTTCGTGTTTCGTAGCAGTGTGTGCCTATGTCGGATTCTCCAGTGCGTTTCTACAAGCTCAAGAGCTGATATGAATAAAGTAGAGTCGTGGTCTGAGGAGGAGGTCTCGCTCTGGCTGACCGATCAGGGTTTGCAGGAATACTCTGAACCGTTGAGAAACCTAGACGGACAGGCTTTATTAAATCTTACCACGGAGGACTTCAAGAGGGCATCCCTCTCCAGGGTCACGTCAGATGGTGGTCTTTTGCTCCTGGAAAAGATAGAGACTCTTAAGATCGAGCATCACATCGATGTTCACAAGAATGGACATGCCAATGGACACATGGTGTTGAATCATAACGGGAATGCCGGGATCACCGGCAAGGCTCCGCGGAATGGCGTGGTGAATGACTTCCACAAGGAACTGGTGCAGATTACCATACCAGAGCCAGCTTCTCCACAGTTCCCTCCCGAATGGGGAAAGACCGCCGTGGCTTTTGTCTATGCCTTATGCTGCTTCGTCTTCACCACCGTCATTATTTCTGTGGTCCATGAGCGCGTGCCTCCTAAGGAGGCAACTCCACCTCTCCCTGACAAGTTCTTTGACTTTTTTGACCGGGTGGAGTGGGCTTTCTCTGTATGCGAGATCAACGGAATGATTCTGGTGGTCTTGTGGATCATACAGTGGAGTCTCTTAAAACACAAGTGAGTTTTCTAAGTAGCACACATTGTGTATGTTTTATTCTTCATGAGTAATGTCACAAAACCTGCCTCAGGAATATTTCACTCCAGATTCAATAAAAACACATCAATTAAATTTGGCTTAAAAACAGTGAAGAGAATCTTCAGATTTTGACAATATTTATATGACAAGCACGCACAATTTTCACTTAAATTAACATTAACTTGAACAAAATAAATTCAATTATATTTCTTTCACCCCAAATTGAATAGAAATCCATAATACATAAAATTTGGATTTTTCAGACTATTTATATGACAATTAAATGCAATGTTCACTTAAATTAACATTTCTGTAATTATTTTCTCAAAAGAATTAAGTATTTCCTTCTGATTACTCTTAATAATATAATAATAAAATAAAGAATAATAATTCGTAACAAGCACCATTTTCACTAAAACTATCATTACCACTAGGAAAGAAAATATTATTCTCATTCTCCTTTCTTATGATAAAATTATGTTATATATATTTAAATATTATTTAATGACTATTTTTACTTGCATGGTCATTAATGCAAGAAAATATTATACTAATTAATCTAAAGCAAAAAAAAGTTGTATATTTTGTTCTCATTGCTGTAATATGACTGTAATATTATGTAAATAATATTTAAATGATAATTAAGCATAATGTTCCCTCAAATTCTCATTATCATAATGCACAAAAAATAATAAAAATTTTTTTTTTAAATGAATGAATATCTGTAAAACAAATCCCTGTAGTTCACTAATATGAATATATCACCACATCTTCCTTCCGCAGATCAATTGTTGGTCGACGCTTCTGTTTCATAGTCGGGACGCTTTACCTCTACAGGTGCATCACCATGTACATCACTACTCTTCCTGTGCCTGGCATGCACTTCAAATGCTCTCCGAAGGTAACAACGAAATAATCTCACTTTCTTTTCCTTTTCTCATATTATTTGTTATGTTGTTTTAACATAGTTACTTCATAATCAGCACAACTAACTTGCTAGGCAAGCATGTTGGCCAGGTAAAGGAGTAATAAAAAACTAAACCGATAAAAGTATGTGTTTTCTCTCTTGTTGATGGTTATAATAGTTATACTTATTTATTTTTTTAGATCCAATGAATATTCTTGATGAGTTTTCTGTCAATTTTGTTCAGTTACACGAGTAAAAAAGACCATGTTATTTTATATAGCTCTTGTAATGATCAATACTGTATGATGCTTCACTTGTAGGAAAGATTACAATTTTTTTTTAATGTATTTTCATCCCAGAATGTTGTTCATTCTCTGTAACAGGATGGGTCAGTTGACCATCTATGTTTTGAACAGTGGATGTAAAGAATGTGTGACTGTTCTATAAATGTCCTCAGAGCAGAGGTCATGAAGGGACATATTTCACATTGAACGGAGAAGCCGGTAATGGAAAATGTGAAGTGTGGTATTTTCATCTCTTTTAATATGCTCTGGGAACCCATTTATATTGATGAAGACACAGGGGGATAGAGCATTGAAATATGTTGATAGGATGTTGATACTTTTTTAATATGTGAGAATTAAAGTTTACAAAAAATAAATTCATAGTGTGATTTTTGGTGAATTGTATTGAATCCAATTAGGAATCCAGTTTTAACACAAGCCATTGATGAATTAACTCTTTCCCTGCCATTGAGAGAATTTTCACTGTTATACGGTAGGGGGCGCTATGAAATCTTCTGAAAGAGTACGGAATCTCCTGATCAAAACACAGGCGAAAAAGAAGCAGAAACAATCTATAGCATATGTAAGCAGATGCATATGTAAAATAACGTGATCATCCGCATATAAATCAAAACGGCCTAATGTTACTGAATGAAATGTTGACCCAGGATGAGCTATAGGAATGTGCAAGCATTAGGATTGTTGATGGACTCGATCTACTCCATCTCCATCTATGCAGTTTTTCCCAACTTTTTGCTCAAAATTTTGCCTTTTTTAATAAAACACCCACATTCCAAATGTTGATAAAAAAAATGCATGAAGCTAGAAAAAAAAAAAAATATATATATATATACATACAGTATATATATATATATATATTTTTTTTTTTTAAGCAGAGGCTCTGTTCTTTCTTTTGATATATTGCATGTTCAGACATTCATACAACAAATATTGGGGCCATAAAAATATCAATCAAAAATGCTTGCGGTGGCTGGTAACTTTGAAAAAAACGTTGGCATGGAAAAATGTTTTACATTTTAAAAATTTATTTAAAGTGCAGCCACACAAACTTTTGAAGAAAAAAAAGTTATATTTTCCCCCACCAGTGGGCCTCTTTCTGGACTTTATGAATCTTAAAGCAAAGACTGCACCCACCGGAGTATGAGCAATATTATTGTGAAATGAAATGATTGTTTAGAGTGTATCTGCTCTAGTGTTGCTATGCTGCCAATGCACTGGTGATCCTTTTGCAACAGTGTGTGTGACTCAATGTCGCGGATGGGATGTCGTGAACACACACTAGCTACACAAGACAGGAAATCCACACCACCGGGCATTCAGGAAACATTCATCATCAAGCCCAGCAACTCTCGATAGAACCTGCTTTCCTGTTGCATTTGCTCAAAGAAAGCCTAGACTTAAACGCCAAGAACTTTGCTTTCTAGGAGCCATTGTTGCTTTTATGTTGCGCCTCAAAGGGGTCATTGTTGTTTTTGACATGAACATGCTGAGTTTGTAGAAACAAATAAGGTCAAGCGGTGAATGAAAATAGATGAAAGAATTCTGGGTGAATAACATGATGCTAATGCTTGTGTGTTGTTTCTGGCAGCTGTATGGCGACTGGGAATCTCGGATACGGCGGGTGATGAAATTGATCGCAGGAGGGGGTCTGACCATCACAGGCTCCCATAACTTGTGTGGAGACTACTTGTACAGTGGCCATACTGTCATGCTCACCCTCACTTATCTCTTCATGAAGGAGTGTGAGTAGACGATTTGGGACAACACCGTCCCCTAGTGGACATACAGTGGTACCATGCATTGCACACTTAAAAATGTATGAAGGGTCTTGCATTAGATTATAATAAAATCAAACTGATTTGACATTTATTTTAAGCAAAAAACACTTTTCAAGCCAAAGATTCACTAAAACAAGTTTAATTTGTAAGTGGAATGTCTTTAAACACCTACAATGCATTCAAAATAATAAGGTTTGTCATCTGATTAGTAACTTCTCTTAAATGAGTGAATGCATAGCAATTTCAAAGTTGTATCCATCATGTTATTACCTGTCATTTTCACCCTTTTTATTATTCAAATATTCTTTGAAAGTTCAAATTTTATGAGCTTTTATTAATACTCATGATACATTTGATTTGAATACATCATTATGTGAAATTTAAAAGAACGTAATCTGAGAATTACCTGTATTCCATTGAAATCAACGAATTTCATTAAATTCCTTTGAACTCCCGACTGCTCAAATTTATGAAACATACATATTCTTTTGTGTTTAAATTCTTTTTATTTGGTATTAAAGCAGAAAATCATTTGTAATTACACTTTTTTTTTAATGCAAACAAATGAAACACATCCTAACAAATATGCATGAATAATAATTGGACAGAAAAACTTGATAAACATATTAATCACAAGCTTGCAGAAAAGAAATAAAAGGGGTCCAAACTTTTTCAAATAACAAACTCTTGTCTTTTAGGGTGTACCTAATTCTTTCTAAATGTAGTGTACCAGTCAACTCTGTCAGCCATATTTTAAGAGCTGGAACTTCCTTTTTCTTCCAAAATAAAGTAATAGGTTTTTTTGGTAGAGATTAACCCATATGAAACAAACTGTTGTTGTACCAATGTAATCTCAAAAATCCTTCTGTTCCAAACCGAAACATACATATTCTTTTTCCAACAAAACGACATCAATATTACTCTTAAGATTTTTTCAAACAAAAATATAGCCTTTTCATTGTACTTGAAAAAGATTTTTTTCATGCTGCAATAGCCATCAGATGGCATTTATATGCATGTTTATTAACCGTATTCAGTCCCAAAAGTGTGTGTGAGATATGGGATAGAAATGGACCTGCACAAAAGGTGTAAAAATGGTTATATCTCTTTAAAAAGCCTTTTAAACAATCTAAAATTTAAATGATTGAAATGAAAGTTTGGTACCTGTGCTAAAAATTAAGCTTTTTTTCTTTTCTTTTTTTTCTTTTTTACACAAATTATGTATCTCTTTTGGGTCAAAATTGACCGAAAATGCATTATGAAGACGACGGCGTGTTGTGACACTGTGGTTGTCAATGTCAGTGGATCATGTTGATCGTTAATGTGATGAACTTCACCTTTGGTTCTGTAATTCTTCACTTTACTGGAGGATTAAAAAAGCATTCTCTGTTATAACACCCCCTAATTTTCTCGCACCTCACAGATTCTCCCAGAAGGTTCTGGTGGTACCACTGGGGCTGTGGGGCGTTGTGTGCAATAGGAGTGTTCTGCATTCTTCTTGCTCATGACCACTACACGATTGATGTTGTTGTGGCCTACTTCATCACCACACGTCTCTTCTGGTGGTATCACACATTGGCTAACCAACAAGTACGTTTCAAGGTCGTCAACATTTCCATTCAGAGCCCTATATTGTATTTTAACCTCTAACCATCTGCATCTGTTTTAGACGCTCAAAGAGACGTCCCAGACCAACTTTTTCGCCCATGTGTGGTGGTACAGATTTTTCCAGTACCTGGAAAGCAATGTTCCCGCCGTCGTCCCCCGCAGCTACCAGAAGCCCTTCTCGTGGCGATCGCTGCAGTGGGGTCACGTGAAGTACACACGGATAGATTCAGACTGACTGACGTGCAATTTTGGAAGTTGGTCTCCGAAACATGTGCCGGAACAAGCCTGACATTGTAGCCAATCCCTTTAACTAACAGACTAGTCATCCAAAGCTTGTCATTCCTCTGTGACGTCCTCACAGGATTGATTTTGGGATGTAAAACTTATCACGTATGGGGCGAAGAACAACAGAGACGAAACCATGGTCAGGGATAAGCAAGTGGCTTGCGATGGCCTGTAATATCATCTTACGTCAATAAAAAAAATGAGCCAGGAAGCCAAATGAGAAGTTATTTATTTTCCCGAATAACTTGACAGCACCTGTTTACAGGCATAAAGCCATCTTCTCAAGATATTTTTGTTAACTCAAGCAATTTATTGACACATTAAATATTGCAAGTCTGAGCAAGATAAATCAGTTTTGTACAGCCTTACATTTTTCTAGTCGTTTGCTAAACAACATGTGCTGTCAGAGAAGGTTTATATGAATATAATTTGTATTTTTTGAAGTAATTCTTTGTTTTTTTTTATATTGTTTGGATAATCTAATGCTCCTCCTCAGTGCCTTAATAGTTCAGAGGGAACGTTGTTCTGGCAGTCAACTGCAATGTATTTATGTTCATTCAAAGACAATTCCAGTGTTTTGGACTATATTCAGGGTGGTCGTGCTGTAACCACCCTTTGCGAACCACATATGCTTGAAACAGAACTCACCTCGTCGCCCGAATGTAACAATCCTGCTCGTTTTTGAAAGAGTATTTCCATGACAGTGTCAGCAAAGCTAATGTGGTTGTCCATAACCATTTCTCTGATGTTGTTTTCGGAGAGTATTTATTAATGTCTTTGTATCGTATTTTGTCAGACAGCTGGTGCTTTATGGCTCTTACTGAACTCCAGGTCTCTGGAGGTTGTCCTGGGTTTGAATGACAAGAACGATGTGACCCGATCCATCCTTTCCGAAAGCCAGAACAGATGTTCTGTCCAATTGACCACCCTATTCAACAAGCTGCTATTGTGGTGTAATAGTAGGAGGTGTTCGTCCATTGACAAACAAATAAATTACAAATATTAGCACAAAAACTGCTTTGTATGATTGTTTTATTTTTGTGACTGTGTGAGTATATAGACAGAATTGTCAAAGTCATCAATGTTTCTCATGATCTTCAACTTTAATTTAAAGGATTATGCTTAAATGCTTGAAATTAGTTTGGTAGAAAAATATAAGTTGTTCCTGGGTATGGGACACTCAATAATAAAACTAAAAGGGGTCCTATTATGCCCTTTTATGAATTTTGGGGTGTACTAGAATATGTTTTCATGCTTGATTATTAAAAGACACATTATTTTTCACATATTTTACATTATTACAGCTCCTCTCCCCAGTCTGCGTCCTTTTCGATGAAGCCCCTCCTTCCGAAATACGAAATGTGCTGTGATTTATTTAGCCTGCCCAGTGTGTTGTGTTCGGGAAATGTCATGCCCCTTCATAACCGCGGCGCGAGCTCTACTCCGATGTCGATATTACAGTTTTTCTCAGTCGCTTTGGTGCATTTCTCACATCACTATTTACATTTGCACAACAGTTAATGCAGTTCTCAAAACAATTAGTACAAACTACAAAACCTAGTTGATAACCTGCAAAAGCGTGTCACTTGCTCAAAGCTCGATAGCTCATTCCTCAAAAGCAAGTATTCATGTCAATGAAAGTGTCAATGTCATCAAGATGAAAAGTCCTGACACCATTGTTTATGAACAAGATAGTCAAATGGCTTTGTCATGTTTTCATTATGACAGTTTACTCTGTAAATGTTTTCCAATGCAAAAAAGTCAGATCTTGGTGACACTACCTGAAAATGCTCAAGACAGCACTATATACTATTTGCACAGCCATTTGAAAATTACAGTAAAGTTACACATTACTGTATTTAGTGAGGTAACTGAGTACAAGACACTGAATATGTATGTTTCACATTTTTACTGCATATGCTCTTTGCAATTCTAATTTGTTCACAGCATTGTGCAAAAGAAAAAATACACCCTTATTTACAACAAACATAAACTCCCTTTGGGTAGAGCTGTGCACAACTGTAAACAATATTGCAGTACATGAACTGAACATACAACATACATAGTACTGTAAATCATTCATGCACATCCATACGTTCCTCTCTGCTGGCCACATAAGTTCACCTGAGAGAAACTGTTCAATTTAGGAGACATTTTCATGAAAGAAAAAATATATAATTTTTTTTTTAATTTGCTTGACAGATTTTGACAACTAGTTCAACATTTTTGTATGTGATGACTCATGCAATGAAATGAGGACTATTCGTTTTATATGGAATGACTATTCAGCATTCACAAGTATAGTTAATTTTGACTAACACGACATAAGCAAATGATAATGTTATAAAACAGCAGAGAGTTGTATGAAAGCAATTGATTCATGTCCAAAAGCATTTGCAATTTGTTGGAAGGAATGAGAAACTGCTACTATGATGTGCACAAATGACTAAATGTTGTGGAGGTTGAACTAACTGTTGTGCAAATGTAAATAGTGATGTGAGAAATGCACCAAAGCGACTGAGAAAAACTGTAACCATGGCGTCAATTTCAAACCATTTGGAGCCCGATTCAGACCCTGACAATGTTAACGAACAAGAGGATTGTGCTGAATGGATTTCAAGCAAGGATTTCACAGCTGCCCGTTTCGGTGCATGTCTCTTTAAATGATAATGAGCAACTGCTCACCCCACACCTCTCTTACGTGGGGCATGTCAACACAAGACAGGTAAAGAGCTGCCATGGTGGACAGTATACAAATGGCTGAGGGCGGAAATATGCTAATCCGGGAAATATGCTATTCGGGACAGTCCGCCAGTGGTCGTGGGCGGAGCATGAGCAATATGACATCATATTGCTCAGAAAATCCAAACGGCTTGATTACAGTAAGTGTTTAGGCTTTTTGAGGATAAAAAAAGAGTGAATGTTTTTTTTCCATTGTATGGTGGTTGTGTCCACACACTGCAAAGACACATTTATGCAAACACCATATAAAAGTGAATTTTGCATCCGACGACCACTTAAATAGAAAACACAACTACAAATAATAAGACATACTTACAAGTTGTGATCCATAAACAACATTTTTTGTGACATTTATCATTAACTGAAAAATTCCCTCTGTAGTAAAAATTAACGTCATGATGGTCTTTGGTATCTCAACAGTTATGCAACTAATCTAATCTAATCAGAGTTTGGTTTCACACTGTCAACATTAAATACGGCTATAAATGAGAGAATACCACCTTTGTCCTTGCGCTATAAGTGTGCACTTTTCCCACACTGGATTCATATGTTTCTTCTGCGCAAAATCTACACCATTTACTGAGTTTGCACCAAGAGTAACACATGTAAGTAGTTTCTCACATATTATACAGTATTTATTTGTTAATGTATTGTACTGGAATGTTGCTGGTATCAATTTGGATGCATGTATGCATGTATGTGTGTGTGTGTGTGTGTATGTATGTATGTTACGAGTTGTTATTTACTTGTTTTGTAAAAGTGTATATTGTGTGTGCACTTTTTCGTGTGTTTTCCCCTCTCTTGCCTCTTTGGCTGTAACTACTGCTCACACGTGGAGCTGTTCATGCGTATATAACATTGATTATAACAAGAAATGATACATGATGACCACTAAATCTGCATATTAAAATGATTTCTGAAGGATCATGTGACATGGAAGAAAAACTTCAGCTTCGCCATCACAGGAATAAATTACATTTTAAAATGTATTCAAATAGAAAAGAGTTATATTGAATGGTAAAATAATTTATTTCAAAATATCACTTTATTCGAGATCAAATAAAATACTGATCATAAGAGACACAAGAACATACAAATCTTTACCTTTGAATGGTAGTGTGTGCATTTAGCAACACATGCTGTATGGATTTGTGTTTCAATCGTTGTGGATTATGGATTGATGTTTCAGTTGCTGTACTGTGCTTCAGTAGCATTGTTTTCACACATAGTATGTTTATATTTTGGGTTACATTTTATTCTAAGATGTCCTTGTTACAGTGTAATTTTACATGTAAGTACTGAGTAATTTTAATTAACTAAGGTACTTACTAGGGTTTGTTTTAGGGTTAGTTGCATGCAATGATGCATAATTCATAGCTATTGCTATAGTAACTACATGTTACAAGAACACTGTAGAATAACGTGTTACCTTTTGTATATTGCCTGACAAGTATATGTTCTGTGTGTCTCAGTGAAGGATGGCACGGAAGACTGTGGGCTGTCGTCTCAATGGTCTGGAGATCTCGCTCATAGTTCTCTTCCTTTTGATGACAGCAGTGTCAGTGGGGCTTATCACGGTCTTGGCCCTCAAATTGGATTCAGAAAAACGTAATAACATGTTTTAAAGTAATTCTTCTGAATAGTACACTTGGTTTAATCACACTCTTAGCAAAAAAAGGTTCAATGTGGTTCTATGTAGACCCATAGGGTTCCTGATTAAATTTTAAACAACCCTGCATGCCAAAAATAGCCTGGGAAAACCCAGACAACTTGCAGCAAATTTAGATTTGCTCTGAAAGTTATGCCGCGTTCCAGGCAACCTGTAACCCGTGTTTTTCCAACCTTATACCCGTGAAAGTGCACTGGAACGGCAGTCAAACCCGTGACTTCCCACCCGTGAACTCGTACTAGATCGATGTACTCCCAGTTACGAGTTCTGACGTCACATAGCCCGCGGAACCATACAAAACAACAATGGCAGCCCCTACGGATGCAGTGTTTCTGCAGGCGGTACACAGTGAGAATACACTTTAGGACAATATAACGTTGCAGTCAAATTAATAATAATATAATAATAATGATAATAATACACACAAGATTATGTATTACAATGTTATGTGTCTGAAACAATAAGTATGTAGCCTATATTGCGCTCAGGTAGTTTGGCGTGACTGGCCTGGAATGCTACAAAGTCGTGAGTCGTGGTTTGAAGTCGTGATTTACGTGCTCAAAAACCTGCCTGCCTGGAACGCAGCATTAGTCTGGCAAAGAGCTCATTCAAGCCTATTTCCAATCCGTCGAAATCGCGGCACCAATCAGAAACGTTGGGGCGGGCTTTACACGATGACGACAGCGCTGGGATTTTGTAGCCTACATTACAAAGATGGATGCCGCCGTCGAACATCACTCGTTCGAATCAGCTATCGCGTCTATTTTAAGCGATTAATGTTTCCTTTTTGTTAAAACCCGAGCAAAGAACAACACTCGCCGCTCTGCATACGTCATCTCCTTCATCGCTCTGATTGGGTTTAGGTCTATCCGCGACGTCCGTTGGTGACGCCCCTCTGGAAATGGTTAGTCTATGACGCTTTGCCAGACCATAACTCAGTTACAACTGAGAATGGTCTGGTTTTAACCAGGCTATGCCAAAAAGGTTCTATAAGGAGAAATGTCTTTCATCTTTAATGGGTTATTTCAGTTGGTTTCTAGTGACCAAAGTATGTTTAAGAGCTGTAGTACTAAATCCATAAAATGATCCCTTAATAGGAACTTTTATAAGGTTCTATATATGAAGAGCCTGACAGAACCCTTTAAGGTTCTATAAAGAACCTTTTCTTAAAATAAAATTATGTATCAGACCAAAATTTATTTTTCTTGAGCAATAATTTTTGTCGGAGACTGCACAAAATATAAGCAAGTGCTAGTGGTTTTAGACTTTTGGATCCCAAGTGTAATTTTTCCATTCATAAACATAAAAATCATATTGTGCCTGGTTTGAATTATTTGTGCACCAGAAGAAGTGACTCCAGAGGAACCGACCCCCACAGTAAATCCTCAAGAGAACCCGTATCTGATCGGTGTGGGTCGTGCAGACTGCACAGGGCCTGTGGCGGATTTGCCTATGGTTAGTTTCATTTCTTTTATGCTCAGCTGATTACTTTATACTGATCATTTGATTTTACTCTAAAGAAAATCTATTGCCAGCTGTTCTGTTTGATTATTGGTGAGGCCTTTATGGAAGTTGATATTCATCAGTTGTTAGAGTCTGATAATGTTTATGACTGTCCATTGATCAGATGTATTGATAAGGGACACATAAGGCCTTTGTGAATGCTGATGTTTTGTATTTTTCTCCATGGGAAAGATGGGTTATGCCAATACTGAGCAGACTGCGAGAGGGATCCACACACGTCTGTTCAGTCGAGCCTTCATTGTGGATGACGGCAGTAAAAGAGTGGTGTTCGTGACTGCGGACATCGGCATGGTCTCTCAGAGACTGAGGCTTGAGGTAGCGCACACTACACTGCCACATTCACTGGCATTACTATGGGTTTAGTCTTCTGTATTCATGGTCTGACTCTGAGATGGCGAACGGGAACATGGTTCATGTAACATTAGCAACACTATTAGCTGTTTCATAACAAGCAAAAGGCTAATCATATTAATTACGGTACCGTTATGTGTCCGTTGTAAAGAGCGATTCCATTGTGAAGCGTTTACCTCAGTAAGTTGAGCTGGCGTGAGTGAGTGGAGGCGGGGCTAATTAGCATATTCCTAGATCCGCGTTCACTTAATGAAGCAAGGGTGTAGAGTAACATTCAAGCTATTTTAAGGCATGAAGCATTTTTTTTTCACAGGAAAAAATACTTACTGGTATGTCATTTTGATGATTAAAGATGAGTTTTAAGGGATAAAATGATTGACTGCAGGGGGACTTCAGAAATATTTTTATCAGTGTATTATTTATTCATATTTTACACTACTTGCCATTTTTGGAATCGTTAAATCAAATTTTGGTATAAACAAAATGAATACAAGGATCTTCCATATCTAAGAATCTGACTTGTGTGTTTCAAACTAGACTTTCTCCATGTGTTCATCATCTGTTCATTTGTCATTGTCTCATACCATTTTAGGTTTTTCAAGAGCTAAAGGCGAAATATGGAGACCTGTACAGACAGGACAATGTGGTCATGAGTGGCACGCACACACATTCAGGCCTGGGTGGCTTTTTCCAGTACACACTCTTTATGATCACCAGTAAAGGCTATATTAAGCCATCTATACAAGCCATCGTCAGGGGAATAGTCAAGGTATGCTTGTATTCTCTCATTTGAAATACATTCCTTATCTATATAATGCTTACTCTTTAGCTCATGTAAATGCCTTCAACATGTCATTGATAATGATTTATGTCCTGTCTATCAGAGTATTGATATAGCTCATAGGAATTTGAGACCTGGGCGAATTTTCATAAATAAAGGACAACTAGTCGACAACAACTTGAACAGAAGCCCACATTCATACTTGAACAACCCTGAGGAGGAGAGAAACAGGTTTGTGTGTTTACTGATGTGCTCATGTTGATCCAGCAGCAGTTTAAATGAGCTGAAATGGACTTTTACTATTAATAATAATCATAATAATAATATATGGTAACATAGGTCTAATTTGTTAACATGAACAATAACAACGAGCAATATATTCTTACAGTATTTATTAACAATGGTTAATGTTATAGTTAATTAAAAATGTCTTGTTAGTTCACAGTGCATTAAATACTGTTAACTGGTACAACTTAAAGCGATAGTTCACCCAAAAATGAAAATGATGTCATCATTTACTCACCCTCAAGTTGTTCCAAACCTGTATGATGACAGAATTTACATTTTTGGGTGAACTATCCCTTTAAAAATCTATCAGTAAATTTTGAAATTACCTTTTAACTAAGATTAATAAACGCTGTAGAAGTTAGTTAACTAATGTAAACATTAAATCTTACTGTAAAGCACAAAATGAACAGATTGGACATTTTTTTTTAAAAAACATGCTTTTTATGGACCCTTTTAACAGACTGTGATGACATTTCCACAGTTATTAACATTGTAAATCTGTTTTTATATTTTGATTAAAAAAAGTAAATTTATAATACTTTACTTTGTGTTTTCTTACCTTGGCATTACATGTCAGAAAACTATTTAACAAAGCTATTGTGTGTGTTAAAATTGTATGTTGGTATATTATTATCACATTAGCATTTTTGCAGTTTCATGAATTTTGTCTCTCAAAATTGTTTTACATTAAAATGTGTGACAACTAGCCCCAATCTTCCCTACTGTATTAACTTTTTCATCAAAAAATACTATTTTATTTTAGCTACACTACACATTAAACAACACTCGCAACACAACACAGCTGAAAGTCACTACAAGTTCATTTATGACTCTGTTTCCAACCCAGATATGAATTCAACACAGACAAGCAGATTGTCATCATGAAATTCACAGATCTGGATGGGGATGGTATGGGGTTGCTCAGGTATTATACACCTTTTATCATATACGCTACAGACATGTCGGCGCACCCGCCATCTTGGAACGGTCAGGGTGTCTTCACTCACTGTAAGAATCAATGATGCCAAAACATTGTGGTTGTGAAACCGCCGATATTTAAATTCCCGAAGAAATGGGATAACCGTAGGTGAGAATGTGTTGGTTTGTGTTTTTATAGGTATTTACTCAATATTATAGATTTTTACTATGGTACTTTTTAATGTTTTTACTTTTACTATGTTAACTTTGTCTTGTCAGCTGACACCTTGACATTGTATTAGTTTTTGCAAAATCATCTGCTGAAGTCTATTACAGATATATATATTTATGCATGCGTCAAACTACAGTTGCAGACACTCAGTCCACTTGCTCTCAAATGTTTACGGACCGGCTTTGACTGTTCCAATATGGCGGATTGGCTTGCATATAACGGCCCAAGGAAGCAGCTAATGAGGCTTCTATGTATATATATATACTGTATATCCATTTTACATCAGAAAATCACAATCACGTAGGATCTTACCCAGACAGCAACATAGTGTCGGCCCAGATCCGGGCCACATCTGGAACATGTGGATTCAACGCATACCACATGTGGGCCGGATCTTCAAGGTATTTGACTTCTGCCAAATATACAAAAATGCACTAATAACTGCATTGACTATGCATCTGTCCTCAGCTGGTTTGCTGTCCATCCCGTCAGTATGAATTACACCAATCACATGGTGAGCTCGGACAACCTTGGCTACGCCTCCTATGCCTTCGAGCAGGAGAAAAACATTGGCTTTCTTCCCGGTGAGGTAAAAGGTCACCCTTTTTTAATTACTCCTTCTTCCTCTGAGCTCCACCATCAAGGTTAATGGATTGTCTTTATTAGTTGTAATCTACTTGAAGAGAACACAAGAACGTTTTCTACTCAATAAAGTCAATAGTTCCCATGCGAATGCTGTAAACACGGAGGAAGTTTAATGACAATGGTTAATAAATGATGTTATTATGTGAGACAGCAAAAATCTGCCGTGGAAATTAAATGGAAGATACTATTCATGTTGCTTATGTTGGCAGTTATCTTTATTAGGCTTTTTTAAGTTGTGGACAGTATGAAAAGTGCAGCGCTAACGCATCACGGACTGTTTACCTCCAGGGTCCTTTTGTTGCCGGCTTTTCCTCCAGTAATCTTGGAGATTCATCTCCCAACATTCGCGGCCCCGTCTGCGTGAACACAGGCGAGAAGTGTGACTACCTTAACAGCTCCTGCCCCGTCGGTGGAGTGAGTTATTATTATACACATGCTGTACTGTACATCAACAGGGTTGTACCATCTATCTATCTATCTATCTATCTATCTATCTATCTATCTATCTATCTATCTATCTATCTATCTATCTATCTATCTATCTATCTATCTATCTATCTATCTATGTCTGTCTGTCTGTCTGTCTGTCTGTCTGTCTGTCTGTCTGTCTGTCTGTCTATCTATCTATCTATCTATCTGTCTGTCTGTCTGTCTGTCTGTCTGTCTGTCTGTCTGTCTGTCTGTCTGTCTGTCTGTCTGTCTGTCTGTCTGTCTGTCTGTCTGTCTGTCTGTCTATCTATCTATCTATCTATCTATCTATCTATCTCTCTGTCTGTCTGTCTGTCTGTCTGTCTGTCTGTCTGTCTGTCTGTCTATCTATCTATCTATCTATCTATCTATCTATCTATCTCTGTCTGTCTGTCTGTCTGTCTGTCTGTCTGTCTGTCTATCTATCTATCTATCTATCTATCTATCTATCTATCTATCTATGTCTGTCTGTCTGTCTGTCTGTCTGTCTGTCTGTCTGTCTGTCTGTCTGTCTGTCTGTCTATCTATCTATCTATCTATCTATCTATCTATCTATCTATCTATCTATCTATCTATCTATCTATCTATCTATCTATCTATCTGTCTGTCTGTCTGTCTGTCTGTCTGTCTGTCTGTCTGTCTGTCTGCATAAAGAAGTATAACCTTGTATTTCAAAATAACTGTAGACACTTATTGAAATATTCACTCACCAGTTCTAATTAACATGTGTTGCCTTTCAATAGAAAAAAGCATGCATAGCTTTTGGACCGGGTGAGGACATGTTTGAAAGCACCAGGATCATAGGAGAGAATATGTATAAAAAAGCAAAGGTGTGTGACACTTGTCATATTGCTTGATCGTGATGAGCATGTGTGTGGAGTGTGCTTCTTCACCGAGTGTATTTGTTCTGCAGGAGCTGTACAGCAGTGCAAAGCAGGAGTTGCACGGGTCGGTTCACGGCGCACATCAGTGGGTCAACATGACCGATGAGACTGTCCCATTTAACTCCACTCATTCAGTGAGTACAGGGCTCCTGTGCACAAAACACGGGCAATGAGACTAGGAACTAAAAGTCAATTTATTTGTATACCACTTTTCACAATACACATTTTTTTAAAGCATCTTTTCTTTTTTTATCCTGTTAACTTTATACATAAAGACAATTATTGCCTGGTTTTACAGACAAGGCTCAAGGCTTAAGGCTTTCGCAGACTAAAATACATGTTTGAGCTGTTTTAACTAAAAGCCACTTGTACTGAGATGTCTTTGATATGTCAGTACCATTGTTTTGTCTCAAGGCCATTGTTTTGTCTCTTTTTTCTAAGGCATGTTTATAAAAACTAATACCTAATCCTGGCTTAGTCTAAGCCCTGTCTGTGAAACCATCTAATGTTACCATAATTTCCATGCAATTATACTAGAGGGGATGTGACATAATGATAAAGCACGGTTTGCATTGAACACACACAGTACCGGTAATTGCATAAGTTAATCTACCTAAACAAGTATTACTGCCTCAAAAGGAAAGGCACATTTTATACAACGTCAAAATCACTCCATAATTCCTTTAAATAAATCTGCTTTTAACCCTCCAAAATGTCTTGCGTCATAGACTGAAATTGGAAGTGCATCACCAAAAACACAATTTTCCTTTGTTTTTCCAAACTAAAGGAAGAGTGAAAATGATGTTCTATATGGTTATCATCTGATTGTCACAGATGCTGTCTATGGACCTTAAAGGGACAGTTCACTCAAAAATGAAGATTCGGTCATCATTTAATCACCCTCAAGTTGTTCCAAACCTGTATAAATTTCTTTCTTCTGCTGTACACAAAAGAAGATATTTTGAAGAATGTTGGTAACCGAACAGTTGATTGGCCCCATTGACTTCCATAGTATGGGGGGAAAAAAGAATTGATCTTATACTTAGTTGAAGCACCCTTTGAGCCAGAAGCACACTGTACCAAAACTGTGCAAACTTCATGCTGACACAGTTTCTATCACCAGGGACGGACGTGTAAACCTGCTCTGGGACACAGTTTTGCCGCTGGTACAACCGACGGAGGAGGCGAATTCAACTTCATACAAGGTAAGGATATAAGCTATGAATGTCACAAGCAAATGTAGCTATGTCACAAGCCTGGGAAATACTTTGACAGGTCTTATTGTTGGTCACAATTATCTGATAATTATGGTTATGTTTCTTCTTGTGACCAGGGGATACAGATGGAGACCCCTTTTGGGATGGCATAAGAGATGCGCTTTTGGGACCCCCGTCTAATGAGTCCAAGGCTTGTCATTGGCCTAAACCAATCCTCGTCAGCACCGGGGAGGTATAAGGACAAGTAGAGCTCATAAATAAACAGAATTACTAAATCTAATCTACAATACGGTATCTTTTGATATTACTAGCATAAGATAACAATGTGCCAATCATTACAGAATTGGCACTTTTTACACAGTGCATGAGAATGGGTAATGGAAAGTACTCATAAGACATGTTTAAATGTTTTCTTTGTTTTGAAATAATAACAGTGATTTCTGTTTTCATGCAGATGGATTCACCCCTCCCATGGCATCCTGCCATTGTGGACGTTCAGATCATCACTATTGGCTCTTTAGCCATAGTTGCAGTCCCTGGAGAATTCACGTGAGTTCTGTTGATTCGCAAAAGCAGCAGCTGTGTTAATATAGGAAAAAGTGTCTCCACAACCAGCCAATATTGTTCAACTCAAGTTGTCTTCAATGTTCCAGTACCATGTCAGGGAGAAGGATACGGGAGGCAGTCAAAAAGGTGAGAACGGTACTTACACTCCCAGTCAAAAGTTTGGAATAATTATGATTTTTTTGTATGTTTTTGAAAGAGGTCTCTTATGCTCAACAAGGCTGCATTTGTTTGATAAAAAAAAAAAAAACATTCCTGCAATTGAAAATCTGAATTTTCACCAGCGTTACTCCAGTTTTTGCTGCATTTTTGTAGTAAGAATGATATATGTTTTTGAGGATTATTTGATGAATAGAAAGTTCAATGAACAGCATTTACTTAAAATATCAATCTTTTGTAACATTATAAATGTCTTTACTGTCAATTTAATGCATCCTTGCTGAATAATTTTTTATTCAGCCTTAAAAAAAAAATCTTACTAACCCCAAACTTTTGAATGGTAGTGTATCACAATTTCCACAAAAATATTAAGCTGTCATTTTCAACAACACAAAGATAAAACAACAATCTCATTAATCTCCTATTTATATCTTCAATATCTTCAATATTTAATGGAATCAAACCTGCCACAACAGGTTGACACACCATTTATGAATCCAAATTTGAAGTAGATTCTTCAAAAAATCTTTGTTTTTACTGTATCACATGGTTTTCATAGGAGTTGGAGGTGCAAGAGTCTTTCACTAATGCAGAGGTGGTTGTCGCTGGTCTCTGCAACATCTACACCCACTACATCACTACATACGAAGAGTATCAGGTATATATGCTTCAGTTTTAGTTGACCACCGTAATAGTCATGGTATTAACATGGTGCTCCAAGGTCCAAGAACATGTCTAAACGAGATGACAGACACAATGTGTTATTTGGTCTGGCTTTTCAAATGGTTTTCTTCTACTCTCACAGATCCAGCGATATGAGGGCGCATCCACCATTTTTGGCCCTCACACTCTCTCGGCTTATATCCAGCGCTACAGAGGACTGGCCAAAGCTATTGCTCATGTAAATCTCCATCTTTCATTGCCTTGCAGTCATTTTGTAACTTTTTAATGATCTGAAATGATCTGTCTAATCTCACGAATGAACCAATCTTCCACAGGGAACAATAGGAGAATTGCCAAAGGGTCCCGAACCCCCTTTCTTTCATGAAGACACACTTTTTAATCAAGTGAAGGACCCCGTGGCAGATGTAGCACCAGCTAACACCACCTTTGGTGACGTCTTACAGCAAGTTAATCCTGTTTATAAAGTGGTAGGTCAATAATTGTGATACGGTCACATATACCGTTGCTCGATGGAATTTTGTGGGCGAAATCCAGTCATTTCAATAGGAATCCGGGAGTTTCCCATGAGGGCGAATAAGTTCCCTTACGTAAATTTCACTCATGTTCAAGTTGGTCATGCGAATTTGTTGCGTTGACCAACAGAAAGCTGCTTGTTTTGAAAGTAACTTCTGTGTCGGCAGTGAAACAAACATCACTACGCTATTGACAATTTCGCTGAAATATCACTAATGTGAATAACATTTTATTGAAATGAGTGAACTAGTGAAAGCTAAGCTTGCAACATTAAGCTTTCTGTTATAAATTAACACGATTTATTTGATTTATTTATTCTAAAGGGAGAAATGGCATCTGTCACATTTGTTGCTGGAAACCCGAGACACTCTGGAGATATTGTGAGTACTTTAGTAGCAGTAACCGTACAGTAATATGTTGCAAAACAGGCTCTTTTATGCATGAGATATGACTAATCTGTGGTGATTATGATATCAGAGAGATAAGACATTGGTCACAGTGGAGAGGTTTCACAACGACACCAACACATGGGAAATAGTTCACACGGATGCATCATGGGAAACAAGGTAATGATCTGTCTACATAGCCTACTGTATACAGTATAGGCTCAAGTTTTTTTAAAATGTTCTCTGTGCTAATGTTTATATCATATCGATTCGTATACTTTTTACTTTGAGCTTGTGTTAATGAAGCCATCTTAAAGCTGATAGTATCTCTGTCCCCCGATAAGGCAAACGCTGAGTCAAGGTCTTATCACATTATATAGCCAGTTCATTCCTCAGGCCGAAATCCATAACCTAAATGAATTGTAGATTAGACAGTCTATACATGTATACTGACTGACATAATATCCAATGGCTAAACGCAAGTACGCCACTGGAGCTGAGAAAATGGCTTCAACGTTTTTTTTTTATTGAATGATGATTTATTTGTTATCGGTTTTCAAACTCTGTTTTTCTGAATTCTGAATTCTCTTTTACTTGTCCCTTCAAAAAATCCACTTGTCCCGGACAAGGGGACAAGCGTTAAAGGGATAGTTCACTTTGAAATTCATTTTTGGTATGTTTTAGCTTACCTCAAGGGCATCCAAGATGTAGGTGTCTTTGTTTCCGCAGTAGTTTCAATTTTGATATTTTTAGGTCAAACCGTTCTTGTCTGTCAGTCATATAATGCAGGTCTATGGTCACCACCTCAAAGAGCATGCACAGAGAAGTCCAAATTAAACATGATTTAATGACTCGTAAATGTAAGTACACATTGATGGCCTAAGACACGAAACGAGCGGTTTGTGTGAGAAAACCAACAGTATTTATATCGTTTTTACCTCTTGTAAACACAGCCACGTCCAAGTGATCTGAGGGCGCGGGCGCTTCGGTCTTTTCCGGCAAGCGCCGGAAAGCGCCAGAAGTGATCTCTCGCACGTGTACGTCACTCATGCAATTTTTTTTTTAGTTTTTTTTTTTAATTGTTTTCTTTTACGACGGTTTAAACATCCCGGATAAGCGCAAATTAGTACCATTTTAATTAGCCGTCTTACCTACAGTCTTACCTACAATCTCTGTTCTATGTAAACAATGAGTGACGTACACTCGCGAGAGATCACTTCCGGCGCTTTCCGGCGCTTACCGATTATGCGTGTTGATAGCACGCCAAAAATGGAAATACGAATTGGCGTGTCATACATACGCCATTTCATGAGATCAGTCTGAACAAAGACACCTACATCTTGGATGCCCTTGAGGTAAGCTAAAACATACCAAAAATGAATTTCAAAGTGAACTATCCCGTTAATGTCGAGCCTTGCATATGGCCTACTATGATATAGGAGTAAAGATTCTGACTTATTTTGTGTATGTGTGTGTGTAACCAGGTTTCACTGGATTAAAGGATTTGCCGGCCGGAGTCAGTCAGAAGTGGAGTGGCACATCCCGCTCACAGCGCAGACAGGAACCTACCGGATTCAACACTTTGGACATTACAAACAATCCAAGGATAACAACACCATCATCATGCCATACGTGGGCGCTTCTGATGCTTTCGAAGTCACCAGAAGTTTTTACTACTTTTGATCAGTCAGTGTATCACTGAGGAAGAACATTATATGCTGTAGAATATTAGCTGTTTAGTGCTCAGTTAACAGCATCAATCTGTAAACTAATGTTGTTGTCTAAGGTAAACATGCAACAATAGTATATGCCAAATGCACAAACATCGACCTCTCTGCCTTTTTTTATTTCTAAGGTGAAATAGTTGTTTGGTAAAGTAGCCTATATCGATCTGTTCCAGTCCTAGCTTCTGATTGGTCTCTGCTGCTAAAATAAATACAATATTCACAATATTGTACAGCACACATAGAGGCAAACTGTTAAAGTTATGTAGGTATGTCTTCTGAATGTATTTAATAAAATCATGTAGGCCTATTAATTTGAATTTGTGTCCCATTGTTTTGTCAAGTCATCTTTATTTATATAGTGCTTTGTACAATACAGATTTGTTTCAAAGCAGCTTCACAATGATAACAGGAAAATAATGCAATAAGTTTTTTTTTTAGCTGTACAGCAGCTCTTGAAGAAAATGGTGTCATCATCCAGCTTAAGCCATTTCAGTGTTGATTAATTTCTTATGTAAAAAAGTTACTAAATTCAGTTTATTTATCTATACAGCAGCTCTGGAGAAAACAGTGATGTCATCGTCCAGCTCAGTTCAGTTCTCATTCAATGATGTCAATGCAGGCAGATCAATAATATTGTTGAATATTAAGTGTCCCCAACTGAGCAAGCCAGAGGCGACAGTGGCAAGGAACTCAAACTCTATCAGGTGACAGAATGGAGAAAAAAAACCTTGGGAGAACCCAGGCATGGCCAGTTCTCCTCTAGCCAAAAAAGTTTAGTAAAAGTAGCAAGCACCTTGCAAGTGGAAGAACAAAATGGCTCAATAGAACAAAAAGGTGTTCTGAAGAATAACCAGTCATAATAATTGCCTAATATCATTAAGTCTTATGGGTTTGTTTGGAATGACATGGGGGTGAGTATAGGCTAAATGATGAAGAAATCTAATTTTGGGGTGAACTATCCCTTTAAGAAATAATGTGTTTTTGTAAAGTCATCAAACATCTGTAGGCTACTCAGACTAAAGGTTTTATATATTGTTTTAATTATACATGGTGCTGGTCGAACCACTTAATGTATTTCGCCATGTTAAAGGGGTGGTATAATGCCCCTTTTTACAATATGTAAAATAAGTCTATGTTGTCCCCAGAGTGTGTATGTGAAGGTTTAGCTCAAAATATATATAAAAAATTTTATATATAGGCCTATATATAATTTTTTTTTTTTTTTACAGCATGTTAAAGTTGTTGCCTTTTGAGGGTCAGTAAAACGCATCGTTTCGTGTGTGTCCCTTCAAATGCAAATGAGCTGCTGCTCCCGGCACAGAGGGCGGAGCTTCAAGAGTGTGTGTTAGCAGCTCTGATTACCTCACACAGACAAGCAATAAAATGTCAGAAACGGTTCTGCCTTTTATGTTTAAACTGGAGTCGGACAATGATGCAGAGACTCAAGAAGAAGTGACAACATGCAGAATGCAACAGAACGTTTCTGAATGGTTAGTTGATGGATTTATGTTGCTGATGTGGAGTTAACTCTTCAAGTCTTTGATTAGCATATCCTGTCATGATAATCTATAAAATCGCTCGTGTGGGAACTGTTGTAAGATGCTTACAGAGTGACATGCAAATGCATTTGTGTTACGTACTGTATTGCATGTGACAAGACGGATGCGACAGCTTGAGCAGACTCAGAAATGTTCTCTATACAACAACTCTTCCTCTTCTCAAAATGGACTGTGTGTTCCCGGGGGCGGGGTTTATGTAAATTTTTAGGAATGGTGATGTCACTTACCCGGGAGGAATGACGTGTAGTCCCTACCAGCCGTTTGTTTAGGCCCCGTCCACACTACTTACTGCGTTTTCGTTTAAAAACGGAGACCTTTTGCTACGTTTGCACCTCCCGTCCAGACTAAAACGGAAAAAACGAAGACCTAAAACGGAGAAGTTTAGAAACGCTGCAGCTCCGTTTTGCGTTTTGAATCTCCGGAGTGCGTTTTAGTGAAGACGGGACAAAACGGAGGACTGGAAACGATGACGCAGAGGCTTACGCTCGGCTCTATGATTGGGTGTCATCAGTCATGACGTATCCTTCCCTGATTCTTCAGCCACCCATCACATGTCAATCCGTTTTCTGTTTACACCGGCACGCGCATGCCCAGTGTTGGTGAATGGTCACGTGATCCGCGTTTTCAGGCGTTTTAATGTGGACGGAGATCAATTCTAATACGCAGATAAAACGCTGGTGTGGACGGAGATCGTATTCGTTTTAATTCTGTTTTTAAATGAAAACGCAGTAGTGTGGACGGGGCCTTAGTTTTTATAAAACGATTTCTTTAAAAGCAAATATCTTCCTTTGCTTTGAACTTTGAGCGTTGTAACTTTGCAGATGTTGTTTATGCTCAAACCGCAACATTGCACACTAACTAAAGTTAGAAAAGTGAAATCATAATCAACCACCCCTTTAAAGTGACCTGACAAGTGGTGCTTCACTAAACGTTGGAGAGGATCCTGACGCTCACTGGCCGCCCGCCACCTCTGTACTATAGCGTAGTGTACTTTGTTTGGTGTTTATGATAGAATAGCCTATGGAATATAGAATAGCCAAAACACAGAAAGACCGACAAGAGTAAACATCGTTAGGGCTTACACAACGTGGAAAGATTTTATGATGGACGGCTAGTGATGCTCAAGTTACAGTTGTTTGTTGGTCAGGTAAGGGAATTCATTATGGTGTTTACTTCTCTCTAAAACTAGTTTGTAGGCCTAATAGTGTAATTTACATAAAACTCAGTAGACGTTCCTGAAGCGTTCATGTCAGTGCAGCGTCTATCACCATTGTGGTAAGAACAGCGATGCTAACACTAGCTTAAAAAAAAACTAGCCTACTGAATGCCCCTTTAATGATAAATGCGCAATCTGTACATGATAATATATTAAAAATGTGTTTTAGGGTTTCATGACACTTGTCACGTGTCACAAATAACACACACACACACAAACAAACACAAAGAACAGTCTGGAACAGTAGACGTGTCTTTAGAAGATAATTTGGTTTATTGATGATTATTTGATTTACTGGAATTATATTTTCACAACTACCTTACTCTGTAGCACTATGAAGCTCTGTTTATTTTTTTTCCCTGACGATGCTCATCCAATTCTCCCTCCAGTTCCGATGCCAATCATCGAAACAATAAATTATTTCAAACAGTCTATGATCGAAAAACAAAGTTCATATAAACAGAGTTGGAATTCAGGTATAAAAATACGTTCTAAGTGCCACACAAACTTTAATACTGTCACCTTTAAGGCATGTTTATATTTAACAAAAATGTGTATTTAAACAGTGCTCTCATATTCCCCACTTATAAAAAAGAATGAAGAGGGAAACATTAGTAGCAAGCCTGTAAATATCTTATAAAATATAGCAAAACTAAAGAACCAGCCACAAACTGTCAAACATCTCTGAAAATAATCCTAAAACATACAGATACATACCAAGTATGAAAGCATGATCTGTTAAAACTCTGTACTTGGGTGTAAATACTGAAAGAAAACCAACACAAAAACTACAACTTTAAATACAACTTAATACCAAAGATCACTAAAGTAAATGTCTGGATAAAAGTCATTAGCGCAATAGGGTTTTACAGAGTGTTTGAAAATATTACTTATAATATTCAATTTGAATGATTCAGTGTTAAAGGCAGCATTGAATTTGCATTGCATTGATGCTTGGTCCAGCCTAAATTTCTGTAATTTAGATCATTTAGAAGCTAGTAACAATCAGTTCAAATTTGATTGGGTCACCAATCTGGATGATCCCAAATTATGACACAAGTAATGTTTCAATCAAGGGGATTTATGCCTTGACAAACAGCAATAAATCATAAAACAAAAAAAATTGACATTTTCTTGAAAGGTTTGGGATTGAGTTGTGGTCAGCCTTCAGGTCGCCCTCTTCCTGAGTAAAGTCAAAAGTTGACTCGTATTCTTCAATATCGCAAAAATGCTCATAAAACACTTGGGAAGAAATAAAGTTATCATAACTCTGAACAAAAACTATTAAAATAAAAACAAAAGAATACATAGAACATAAAACGACAGAGACTGTTAGTTAGGGGTATCAAAACACTCCATATCCATCCCCACGGGCTGCCACAGCAAAGGCCGGGTAACCCTCGTAGGTTGCATAGGCAGTCAGGTCCTGACCCAGAGAAACAGCCTGCTTCAGCTGGGTAGCAGTGGTGCTGGCAATTGTATAACCTGTGAAGCCAAAAGGAAAAGACTCAGGGCAAAATAACTCCTGCAAAAAGTTTTTTTTTTTTTTACCCTAGAATGCATATCAAATGACCCGGCCACTTAATTTATAAACCATAGTTATAAATAATTAAAAATGGATGGTTTTCAATCCATTTAAAATTTTACAGAATTTTTGACATCAAAGTATACTGTAATGCTTTTAAGTATGTAAAATGTTATACGACATTAACATTTAAATTTAAATAAAATATGTCTTTTACATTTTTTTTTTCAATTTAATAATTGTATGTTACATTTTAAACAATTTTTTACCACAGACATACATTATAAAGTAATTAAAAAAATATGTCTGTCCTATTAGAAAAAAAGTTTTGATGGGGTACTATATTGAACTCTATAGGGATCTTGACTCAATTTAAAGCTGCTGTTGGTAACTTTTGTAAAACATATTTTTTTTTACATATTTGTTAAAACTGTCATTATGTCCTGACAGTAGAATATGAGACAGATAATCTGTGAAAAAATCAAGCTCCTCTGGCTCCTCCCAGTGGTCCTATTGCCATTTGCAGAAATACACGCTCCCGGTCAGAAACAACCAATCAGAGCCAGGAGGAATGTCTTAGCAGTGTCAATCACGCTCGTGTACGCGCTGATCACACCCCTCTCTTGCACAGCGCGAGCCGTCGTTCAAACTCAAGATTGCCGGCGTGCTGCAGCTGTGCTTATGACGGAGAAACAACCTAAACTGCCAATTCTCGAGTGACACCTGCTCATAAAACAAAGAGGTAAAAGGAAAAAGACCGATGACGATAAACAAGCGAAAAAGAAAGAATTACACAGAGCCCATTGACTCGGTGTCAAAACTCTAGCCGCATAACATGTAGATAAAATGTCACGCACTCTGCTAAGCAACAATTGAACCCTGCTAATTGACTGGCTTGTCATGTTGCTGAAATAATGTACTAGCACACCTTATCTAGCATTATATATCGCTAGAATAATTACTTACACACTGTAACGTTAGTTACCGTTATATTAACGTTATCTTACTAGCTATTTA